TGTGGTTACCTCTTTTTGAACATTTTTGTGAACAGAAATAGAGCTCTCAAAGAAAACACAGGAATGGTCAGAGAGTGCAACATCAGTCACCACAACCTTAGAGATATTCAGACCCTTTGAGATAATTAAGTCCAGAGTGTGCCCCTTATTGTGCGTGGGCTCCGTCACATGCTGAGTCAGTCCATAGCTATCAAGAACACAAAACAGTTATTTTGCCCCTCTGTCCTGGGGGTTGTCAACATGGATGTTAAAATCACCAACAATGACTAGACGGTCAAAGTCAATACACACTATAGACAGCAGTTCAGTAAAGTCATCAAAAAAGCTTGCACAGTATTTCGGTGGTCTATAGATATTTAGGAACAGAGCTCGAGAGGAGCATTTCAGCTGAAGGGCCACATATTCAAAATAATCAAAGTTTCCATACGATGTCTTCCTGCATTGAAGGGAATCATTGAACAGAATAGCAACTCCACCCCCTTTCTTATGCATTATTTCCTGACTCATAAAACTAAAGTTGGGAGGGGTTGATTCGATAAGAACAGCTGCACTGTTATTTTGTTCAATCCAAGTTTCTGTTAAAAACATAAAATCGAGATTGTGCTCAGTGATAAAATCATTGATTACAATTTTTTTTCCTGCTAAAGACCTGACATTTAATAAAGCTAGTTTAAGTTTGTTAAACACACTATCAGTCATGTTTTTTGTAACAAGCTGTGGCTGACATGGAATCACTGCTAAATTAGATAAACTCACACAAACGTTTGAGCGCTTCCTGTATCTAAGATGATTCACCGCTCTTAATCTATTACCTATCAACACAGATATCGGCAAAGCTATAGGCAGGCAGGGCCCCGACATGTCCTGGAAAGAGTTGAGAGTGCCATACGCCCTTGAGCCTGGACCCAGCAAATATCAGTTTGCAGCGTTTAGTACACACACATCCTTATCAGGCTTCGGAGACTGCAGATGCCCTCTCGAAGGGAGGGGAGGCGGCCGACGCAGGCACGGTGATGGAGACGTGGGAGATGGTGCGGGGGTAGAGGACATGCTGCCTGGGGGGGGAGGTGGTTGACGTAGGCACGGTGATGAAGACGGGGGAGATGGTGTGCGTCTCCGCAGTGATTTTGGTGGGCGTCGTTGAGGAGCGGGGGTAAAGGACATGGTGCCAGCCCTGCGTATCGCCTTAGTTTGGTCTTTGAACTCCAGGAAGGAATCGGTGCCAACCCTCTGTATCTCCTTCATGTGTTCAACGATCCCCAGGAGGGTGGGCGAGGGTGAAAGGGTGAACGGAGTATCCTCAAAGGCGTTGACAGGGGGGGGGGGGGTTGACGAGCAGTGGAGACTCCTCCATGTGTGTGCATCTGGACCCGGTGACGACATTATCTATTGACGCAGCAACCACTGTAAGTTATATTCTTGTTTAATTAGACTTCTCTGTTTCATTTATTCGACTCTGTATGAATTGTTATTGTAGCGTAAACGGCTAAATCGCGTTTGAGAGATTTTAAATCTCAGATCTGCTCAGGCGAAACCTGCTTTACAGGTCTCAGCACTCAAGCCTGCATTAATATAGGCACGGCCAGTCTATTGTCGCCCATCAGCTGTAGATAGTTAACTAATTAGAGGGCCGTGGCCCTACAGCTGTGAGAACTGAGCAATCAGGCGTCCATTTCGGGTAGCTCTTTCCTGGAGCGTCAGCTTCAGCGTCAGACAGCCGAAGACTGACAAAGACATTGGAGTCCTGCGGGAGTAAGACTGACAAAGACATTGGAGTCCTGCAGGAGTCACGAGGGAGGCAAAGAGGAGGCAAATCCTACTCTGATCGAGCTGGTGTCTTATTTCTCTTTTCTTTAATTTTCTAGCCCCGCATGCTATAATCATGTGTATTTTCTCTATTCCTGTTCATGTGTCTTCTCGCAATTATCACTGGCCCCGTGTATCTCCTAATCGATATAACCGGCCTGCTCTCGTCTATCCCACGTGCTCCACTGAGATCCAACATCTAGTTTCTGGTGGCCTGTGGAATTGCCAGTCAGCTGTTCCTAAGGCTGACTTCATCTCTGGCTATGCCTCCCTGCAGTCTCTGGATTTCCTTGCTCTCACTGAGACCTGGATTACTCCATCCAACACATCCACCCCAGCAGCTCTCTCCACTGCATATTCCTTCTCCCATACACCCAGACCCACTGGCAGAGGAGGTGGCACTGGTCTCCTGCTCTCTCCCAAATGGAGCTTTTCCCTCTTCAAGCTACCTAACTTCACTCCTTCCACCTTTGAATTCCATGCCGTCACAGTAACCCATCCTATACAGTTAACCATTGTTGTTCTCTACCGTCCACCAGGCGCCTTGGGGGACTTATTGGAGGAATTAGATAATCTCCTCTCACTCATCCCTGAAACTGGCCCTCCCGCTGTACTTCTCGGAGACTTCAACCTCCAGACGGGGAAGATAGACGAACTAACATCTCTGTTAACCGCCTTTGCTTTCTCACTGTCTCCGTCCCCACCGACTCATAAAGCTGGCAATGTCCTTGATCTCATATTCTCAAGGAACTGCGCTACTTCTAACCTCTCTGTAAACCCGCTCCACACATCCGATCACTTCTTCATTTCATTCTCTCTATCCCTTTCCAAACATAACAAACTAATCTCTTCTCATCCTGCACTTGTCCACCGTAACCTTCGCTCCCTCTCCCCCTCTAGCTTTGCCTCGTCGGTGCTCTCAGCCCTCCCTTCCTCTGACTCGTTGTTAGAGTTTATTGAAGGATAAACGTGTTTTCATAATATGTTGTCATTTTATGTTGTAAAGAGACCATAGTCAGAAAAGAGGAACAGAGAATAGTCTGTTCCCCTTTTCTGTGGACCATACACACACACACACACACACACACATGATTGCGAGTCACAAGACTCCCATTGACAAATAAAGCCGTTGGTTACATACACTTCCTCATGCATGATTTGTAACTGTATTTTTGTAATAAAGAGACTGCACTGAGAGAAGAGGAGCAGAGTTGGTTTTGGAGTTGACATAACCTGTCACTCGCTGATTCTCCTTGCAGCAAGTAAACTTGAAACTCGAGTACTGTTATCTTTGTTCACTGGGTTTTGGTATATTTGAACCGAGCTGGGGTTTACTCTTACAAAGTAATATAGAAATACCCAACATTAATTGGTCCTTCGAGCCGGATTCCAACACATCGTGACGGGAAGGAGGAGGGAAAAGACACGCCGCAAGTCTGTCGACAGCCGGGATCATCAGCCGACCCCGAGAAAGACCCGGGACGCAGAATTCGTGGCCGGGCCGGTGCTTATATGTCCAACCTCCCTCATCCTCGGCACGATTGACGGAATCCAACCGGACCAGTGACCACAGATAACGGGTAAGATAAAAGTTGATATACATGGTTTCTCCACCATTTAAGGAGGTAGAGAAAGGCTTCTCCGCCATTTAAGGAGGATTGACGTGTCTTTGGGTACACTTATGAGAAAGGTTACTCCACCATTTAAGGAGGTAGAAATTGACGTGCCTTTGGGTACACTTATGAGTGATTGAGTGAAAGTAGTGTGTAAAAGTGTCACCAGGTGGAATCAGCGCACAGAGTGGAAACCTAACGGTGATAACAAAAACTCTGTGGTCTGTTGAAGTACACTGGTGGTGAATTAGGAATTAGGTTCTGACCGGCACGTTGTCCAGTAGGAACACAAAGCTAGAATAATGGGGTCCAATGGGAGTAAGCCTGCCGCTACAGGGGACATGAGATATATGGAAATATATAGTCATGGCAGCACCAGTTATTGTAGCAAATGGTATAAACTGTACGGCTTCCGAGGAAAGTTGGAGAAAACAGCAGTAAGAGAATTAAGCGACAAATTGAGAGCAGAAACAGCTGGAACAACACAAGGCAAGAAAAGAAAGAAGTTAGAAGCTCAACTGCGAGTCGCAGCTTTATGGGCTGAACAAGCCCATAAAAGGACAGGTGGAGCAGAAGAAGGTATGATAGCAGCGGCTGTTTCAGTGAAAGCAGACGAGGAGACAGGGCGTTCAGGGTCAGTTGACGCTGTACGCCGCGAGAAAGAGAGAGCGATAGTGGAAGAACACAAAGCACAGGAGCAAAGAATAAAAAGAAAGCAAGAGAAAGAGAGAAAAGACAGGGAAAGAGAGACACAAAAACGCATCAACAAAGAAATGGCAGATGCATTAAGCCCACTGCACACCAGAAAATATAAAGGGGAAACCAAGTTATATCCTGTTGAAGAATTAAGAGAAGCAGAACAATCCTTCGATGGAACAGCATATCAGGGTGACGCTTATCCATTAGTACAAGTGGCCAACCCGCACTATGGAGTTGGCGATGACCAAGAAAGAATGTTAAGAGTGTTCCGCCCATGGACAATGGATGAGTGTAAAAAGGCTTGTGAGGGACTGACTCCATACAAACAGGACCCGGCGCAGTTTGTCCTTGACCATACTGCATTAATAGCGTCATATGGTTTAAATGGACATGAAGTTTTAAGAACCCTTATGACAATTTTTGGCCACGAATGGGCCAGAGTAAAGGGAGATTTCACCGGGTCCTCGCCCAATGGAAACCCCCTGGAACCAGGTCAGCAGGACCTCATAAATGCACTCGCTCCCGTAAATATTTCAATCGAGAGGGTTTTTGCACTGAGACGAGACTTTACTAAAGTCTCAGGGTGTAAACAGGGAGAAAAAGAGTCAGTACAAGATTTCAGAATCAGAATGGAAGATTGTTTCCGTATCCATAGCGGAATTCCACCCAACAATGCTGTTGACACCCCATATGTGCAGCAGCTGAAACAAAGCTTGATGAATGGGTTCCACCCAGGTATTGCTGACTTTATCCGCAAGCATAATGTTAACCATAGGACATGCGACTTACAAGAGTGCCTAAATTATGCAGAACATGCAGCAACCCAGATCAAAGAAAAAATACATAAGAAAGCGTCAGCATCAGCTTTCTTCATAGGAGAAGATGGGGAAGAAAATCAGATTTTCTTTGTGGGACCAGAACAGGGGAGAGGCGGGTTTAACAGAGGACGAGGGAATGGTAGAGGAGCAGGCAGAGGCAGAGGAGGAGGCAGAAACGCAGAAGGCAAATTCCTCTGCTACAGGTGCGGAAAGGAGGGGCACATGGCGAGGGACTGTGAGGAACAGATACCACAGAAAAAAGAAGGGGGACAAAAGGGACAGTACAAAGACGAAAGACATGGCCCCCCCCCTTCACATAACCTACATAGTTATGACAACTGACTAGACGTAGAAAAGGAAGAAGAGGACGTCCACACACATCACATTGACCTTTCTGAAGTATTACTGAATCTGTCAGACAACAGTATTAAACCTACCAGAACAATCGAAATCAATGGGGACAAATTTGAATTTTTATGTGACAGCGGTGCAGACTCATCAGTAGTGAACAAAGAGGTCCAAAGAATGTGGCCACCAACTGGCACTATGTTTGTAAAATCAGCAAATGGACACATAAATCAGAGGTCGATTTCAAAGCCACTTTTTATGGAAGATAGAAGGTCAGGCCTCCAGGCATCCCTCAAATTTGTGTTCATCTCAAACTGCCCTGTCAATTTGCTAGGGAGAGACGGCATGGAAATGTTAAAAATCAGTGTAGTACCAGTCAAAGGGGGAATGCGAGCAGTAGGGCCCGGAGAAAAGGTGGAAGACCAGGTCTTCCTTCAAAAATCCATAAACACCCCCAACTACTACTGGTCACTAGACATGCCACAACCTGACGTGACAAACACAGGTGAACACCTGTTAACACTATTCACCCCACAACATGGCCAAGAAGTAATGAAACCTGACGCATTGCACGTTACACTAAAGTACAAGAACACCCCTGGCCCAGACAAAGACTATGATGTGCTCGTGCATCGACTGACACCACAGAGGGTAGTGTTCCACTCGATGTATGCAAACCAACACGGGGATGTTGTAATTGACGCTAGGGTCCCATCAACCACTGCCTTGATAATGGAACCAGGTTCCACGCCACACATATCAGTAGCTAGGGGCCCAGGGACTTCATGGAGAGACTTAGGTTTATTAGTGGCTAGAGGTAACAGGATAACAAAATGGACAGATGACAAAAACGGTTGGCAAACTGGAGGCGGGTTAAAGCGCAAAACTCTAGGGTTTACTCTAGTGATGACACCACGCGCCCACCTAGACGACCCTGAACAACAATGATGTATGCTAAGTGAAGAGGCCTTAGAGGTCCTGAAAACGGTGCCGCCATGCGTATGGTCACAAGGAAAATGTGATGTAGGTCGCATGGTGAATGCAAAACCTGTACACGTTAGACCAAAAACTAACTACAGACCTAACATAAGACAATACCCCTTAAAAGAGGATGCAAAAGTTGGCATCAAACCTGTAATTGAAGAAATGCTAAAAGCAGGGATCCTGCGTGAGTGCCCTGACGCATCATGCAATACCCCCATCTTCCCAGTAAAAAAGGCTGATGGGCAGTCATGGAGAATGATTCAAGACTTAAGAGCAGTAAATGATGCTGTACAAAGCACAGCCCCAACAGTACCAGATCCACACACGTTAATGAACGGCCTTAAGCCAAATATGGCATGGTTCTCAGTGATAGACTTGAGCAATGCCTTTTTCTCCATTCCTGTAGAAAAAGACTCACAAGGATGGTTTGGGTTCACACATGAAGGAACAAAATACACATACACCAGATTACCTCAGGGGTATGTGGATAGCCCAACAATCTTTTCACAAGAAATAGCAAATTGTTTGGCTACATTACAGATACCTGACACATCGCAGATTTTGGTATATGTAGATGATATTCTTGTTGCGTCACCCACACAGGAAGAAAGCACAAAAGTCACACTACAAGTATTGACACATTTGGCCAAAACAGGAAACAAGGTTTCAAGACAGAAACTTCAGTTTGTGAAAGAGGAAGTGATCTTTTTAGGCCACAATTTAAACCGAGAAGGGAGACGCATACACTCAGAGAGGAAACAGACGGTGTTAAACGCACCAAAGCCAACAACAAAAAAACAAATGATGCAATTCCTTGGGCTGACTAACTATTGCAGAGCATGGATTCCAGACTACGCAGGAATGACTCAGCCCCTACTAGATTGCATATACTCAGACAATGACATGAAAATGTCCGGCAAGATAGAATGGACACAAGAGGCAGAAGCTGCATTTGAAAGGACTAAACAGTGTCTCGTAGGGTCATCAGTGTTAGCATTACCAGACTATGAAAAACCATTTGTACAAACAGTTGACTGCAAAAAAGGGTTTATGACATCAGTATTGGCACAAAAACACGGCACAAAACTAAGGCCTGTCGCTTACTACTCTAAAAGGTTAGACCCAGTAGCACAAGCATTACCAGTATGCGTACAAGCAGTATGTGCGGCAGCAATGGCGGTACATTGTACAGCAGAAATAGTTTTGTTCCACCCACTCACACTGATGGTTCCACACGCAGTCACCATGTTGTTACATGACACCAAAATGGCTTTCTTATCACCTGCACGTTATTTGGCACTGACAGCTACACTAATGTCACAACCACACATTGTGATAAAAATATGTAATATCTTAAATCCAGCCACATTAATACCTACAGCAGAAGATGGAGAACCACACTGTTGTAAAGAAGAGACTGACAGAACATGCAAACCAAGACCAGATTTGAAAGACATACAACTACTCAGTGGCGAAACATGGTTTGTGGATGGGTCCTATTCTAAATCTATAACAGGCCAAAATCAAACAGGGTTTGCAGTTGTATCACACTCACAGGTCATAAAAGCAGGCCGACTCCCCCACACATATTCTGCACAAGCAGCGGAATTAGTAGCTCTTACAGAAGCATGCAAAGCGGGGGTTGGAAAATATGTGACTATGTGGACAGACAGCCAGTATGCGCACTCAACAGTACATATATTTGCAGCCCAATGGGCCCGCAGGGGCATGAAAACGTCAACAGGAAAACCAGTCACCCATGCACAGCTGCTGACTGATCTTTTAAAAGCGGTGTTGTTGCCGAAAAGCATTGCGATATGCAAATGCACTGCGCACACCAGTGGGAAGGATGCAGTAACACTTGGCAATGCACACGCGGATAAGGTAGCGAAGCTAGCAGCTATGGGCGAATATGGGTTCCATATCCTCTTGCAGAAGGGGGAAAGTGTTTCACAACCAATACCTCTTGTGATATTAAGGGATATGCAGAACAACGCACCCGACAGAGAAAAGAAGAAATGGTTGACAGATGGTGCAACCACAGACCCTGAGGGAACATTCAGAATAAACAACAAGATAGTACTCCCTGTTAGTCTCTACAAAACAGCAGCTCATTTGAGTCATGGGCCGTGCCATGTCTCAACAGGAGGGATGGTGACAATAATAAATGAACATTTCCATACATACAACTACATTACATTTTCTAAAAACTTTTGTAGAGCCTGTGTAGTATGTTGCAGACACAATGCTCAAGGCAATGAGCGACCACAGAGAGGAAAGTTCCCTCCACCAACATACCCATTTCAACACATGCATATGGACTTCATCGAACTAACACCATGCCAAGGGTACAAATACTGTTTGGTAATGATATGTCCGTTTTCAAAGTGGGTTGAAATATTCCCAGCAAAACATGCAGACGCTATTACCGTAGCAAAAGCCATATGCAAGACAATAATACCAAACAGAGGTATTCCAGAGAAACTGTACAGTGATAATGGGTCTCATTTTGTAAATCAGGTTATTACCAAACTGTCCGAACATATGGGGATAACATTAAAAAACCATTGTGCATATCATCCACAGAGTGCAGGCTTAGTGGAAAGAACAAACGGAACAGTAAAGTTAAGACTAAGGAAAACAATGGAGGAAACAGGAAGACCATGGGTGGAATGTGTGTCTCTGGTAGAAACATGCATGAGAATCACGCCCACGGCAAAAGGGTTGTCTCCCTTTGAGATCATAACAGGAAGGCAATTCAGATTACCAATCACAGACGAGGTGAGGGAGGAGGATGATGCTGAGGCAGAGACTACATTAGCTGAATGGATGAGCAGACTCTTCAGAAGCAATGAGATAGCTCGAACAAATAACCTGCCAGACATTTCTACTCCCTTGCAGGACACTCGAGTGCAGACTGGTGACCAGGTCCTCGTGAAGGTGATTAAGAGGAAGCATTGGCACTGTCCACGGTGGGACGGTCCCTACACGGTACTGCTGACAACACCGACTGCACTAAAAATCGCCGAAAGAACTACGTGGATACATCAGAGCCACTGCAAAAAGATAATACCTCTCCAACTTAACGACGGATAAGTGGTGGAAGTCCGGCTACAAAGGGCGGTGTTTCATTAGGAAATACTGGTCTCAACCCCGGTGAAGAAAACAACAGAACCACTATCACAAATAGACTATGTTGGGAAAGGTGTTGTTTGTAGTGACCCTGCTGGGTCTGACGCTAATGACTATAAGACAATTGAGTGAGGAATCCTCAACAAAAAAAAAGGTCCATCGAGAGAAAAAATGGTCATTACTCAACGATGACCCATGGAACCACAACGACAAAACTGCACGCTCACCTAGGATGACAAATGCCTGGTATGCCTATGTCCATCAACTTGTTACAAAGACAGGGCGTTCAAATTGTTATGTTTGTTCCCACATGCCATGGTCAACTGGACAAGTAACTCTGTATGGTAAAAGGATGAGTAAATCACAAGCTAAATGTTTTGCTACCATGGGAGGTGTAGGATACCAGCACTCAGGGATAAAAGTCAACGATGTGAATCCATATGCCCCAGGTTTAAGCAATGGCACTTGTAATAAGATATTTTGGGTGAACTTTAACATGACAGTGCCGCGTAAAATGACAGGACAAAAGGTAGTCATGCCAAATAATGAAGCTATACACCCTATGTGTTACAGTCAGACAGAAGGTTCTGTACCAATGGGAAACACCACTGGTTGTAACCAGACACTTGTTAATGGCGAAGGGGCTCCAGTCTATTTGAGCAAACAATCTAATGGTACATGGTGGGTACAAGGAGGATGGTGGCTGTGTGGCAACAACGCTTATCCAGTTCTGCCAATAAATTGGACAGGCACGTGCGCACCAATATTTGTTAGCGACCACACCTTCGTGATAGACATAGAACCACACCTTAACCACACCCGCAGGAGGAGAAATGCCATGCCTGCCTTCAAAAAACATGATTCAGTATGGGGAAAAGATGTCCCTGATGAATTCAAACACTGGTCCACCAGTGGAAAGGTAATATTAGCATTGACTCCTGCCTTAGGCGTAGCGAAGAACATGTTGAGACTCGAAACCCTTGATTACCGGTTCGGCATGTTTGTAAATAATTCCATCGTTGTAAACGAACAACAGAACCTCGAACTAGACTCACTCAGAACCATGGTGCTACAGCACCGCATGGCCCTTGATCTACTCACTGCCTCAGTAGGAGGTACGTGTATCCTTTTGAACACAATCTGTTGTACATATATCACCGACAATGTCCACTCCCAAAACATGACAGATGCAATGGCTACTCTCAAAGCCCTACAGACAGCTATGGGCCAAGACAGACATGCCTCTCTTGAGACCGGATGGTTCAATTGGCTACTCTCAGGGAGCTGGGTTCAAAAGCTCGTGATGGGATTTGTTGCAATCATATGTGTTGTCATCCTTGTGTGCTGTGCTATGGCTTGTATTATACCATGTGTTAAAGCTATGGTTGGTAAAATAGTTACCAACACTCTTGTCCAATATACGATGTTGCAACAGACAGATAACGATGACTATACTGACACAGACCCCTCTCAGAAGGACGAATATACTCACCTAACCTCCAATGTGTAAGACTTAAAGCTACTGTCTGTCATATGACGAATGGTTCGAAAATGTCAAAAACAAGTGAATTAATTCTGAAAGTAATAAAGACACTGTAACCAGCTAGTAATTATGAAAAACAGGAGGGAATGTTAGAGTTTATTGAAGGATAAACGTGTTTTCATAATATGTTGTCATTTTATGTTGTAAAGAGACCATAGTCAGAAAAGAGGAACAGAGAATAGTCTGTTCCCCTTTTCTGTGGACCATACACACACACACACACACACATGATTGCGAGTCACAAGACTCCCATTGACAAATAAAGCCGTTGGTTACATACACTTCCTCATGCATGATTTGTAACTGTATTTTTGTAATAAAGAGACTGCACTGAGAGAAGAGGAGCAGAGTTGGTTTTGGAGTTGACATAACCTGTCACTCGCTGATTCTCCTTGCAGCAAGTAAACTTGAAACTCGAGTACTGTTATCTTTGTTCACTGGGTTTTGGTATATTTGAACCGAGCTGGGGTTTACTCTTACAAAGTAATATAGAAATACCCAACACTCGTTCCAACTCCTGCCTCCAAACTCTGCTGCAGAAACTCTCCTCTCTACTCTCTCATCCACTCTGGACTCGCTCTGTCCTCTCACATCTCGGCAGGCTCGTCAGTCCCCTCCTGCTCCCTGGCTAAATGATGCACTGCGTGCTAATAGAACCGTCCTTAGGGCAGCAGAGCGGAAAAGGTGGAAATCCAAACACCGTGACGACCTCCTAACCTATCAGGCTCTCCTCTCCTCTTTCTCTGCTTCGATCTCTCAGGCAAAAAGCACTTTCTTTCAAGATAAGATCCAATCTTCCTATTCCAATCCTAAAAAACTATTTTCCATCTTCTCCACCCTCTTGGACCCTCCAAAAGCCCCTCCCCCTCCTCACTTCTGTCAAGCGACTTTGTTACCCACTTTGAAAAAAAGGTTGATGATATTCGCTCTTCTTTTTCTGACTCACCTTTACTCACCGCTGGGTCACCAGACCCTCCTTCTACTAACACACTTACCTCCTTTTCCCCTCTCTCTCCAAGTGAGGTTCTTACCCTCATTACCTCTGCCCGCCCTACCACCTGTCCTCTGGACCCTATCCCTTCAAACCTCCTTCAGACAATCGCTCCTGATATTCTACCGTTTCTCACCCATTTCATCAACACTTCTCTAACTTCTGGTCACTTTCCAAACAGTCTCAAGGAGGCAAGAGTAAACCCTCTCCTAAAGAAACCCACTCTTAACCCGTCTGATGTTATAAACTACAGGCCTGTCTCTCTCCTCCCGTTCCTGTCTAAATCACTTGAACGCGCTGTCTTTAAACAACTCTCCTGTTATCTCCATCAGAACAACCTTCTGGATCCGCACCAGTCTGGTTTCAAGGCAGGTCACTCCACAGAAACTGCTCTCATTGCTGTCACGGAGGAACTGCACACTGCCAAAACTGCATCCCTCTCCTCTGTCATCATCCTTTTGGACCTGTCTGCTGCATTCGACACGGTGAATCATCAGATCCTCCTTCGCACTCTCCAAAAACTTGGAGTTTCAGGCTCTGCACTTTCCCTCCTCACCTCATACCTGAAAGACCGTACCTACAGGGTGACTTGGAGAGGGTCTGAGTCCGACCCTTGTCAATTAACTACGGGGGTCCCTCAGGGCTCTGTTCTTGGTCCCCTCCTCTTCTCCCTGTACACAAACTCGCTCGGATCAGTCATTAGCCCGCATGGTTTTTCATACCACTGCTACGCTGATGACACCCAATTAATTCTGTCCTTTCCCCGCTCAGAGACCCAGGTCGTTGCACGCATCTCTGCTTGTCTAGCTGACATCTCTCAGTGGATGTCTGCTCACCACCTCAAGCTCAAACTTGACAAGACTGAGCTGCTCTTCCTCCCGGGAAAAGATTGTCCCACTCTTGACCTAACAATCAACATCGGCACCTCAGTTGTTTCCCCGACTCAGACTGCAAGGAATCTGGGTGTGACCCTAGATAACAACCTGTCCTTCACTGCAAACATCGCTGCTACAACCCGTTGCTGCAGATACACGCTTTACAACATCAGGAAGATACGTCCCCAGCTGACTCAGAAAGCGACTCAGGTTCTGGTCCAGGCTCTCGTCATCTCACGCCTAGACTACTGCAACTCCCTCCTGGCTGGTCTACCTGCATGTGCCATCCGACCTCTGCAGCTCATCCAGAATCCAGCTGCTCGTCTGATCTTCAACCTTCCTAAATTCTCCCACACCACTCCGCTCCTCCGCTCCCTTCACTGGCTTCCGGTAACTGCTAGAATCCACTTCAAGACACTGGTACTTGCTTACCATGCTGTGAATGGATCTGGCCCTTCCTACATCCAGGACATGGTTAAACCGTACACCCCAGCGCGTGCACTACGCTCTGCATCAGCCAAACGACTCGTTGCGCCCTCGCTGCGAGGGGGACCCAAGTTCCCATCGGCGAAAACACGTGGGTTTGCTGTCCTGGCTCCAAGATGGTGGAATGAGCTCCCCATTGACATCAGGACGGCAGATAGCTTGCACATCTTCCGGCGCAAACTGAAAACTCATCTCTTTCGACTCCACTTCGAGCGTTAGAACTATTAACGAAGCACTTTTATACTAATAAAGGACTGGCTTACCTAAAGCCAGTTGAGTAGCACTTGAAATATTTGGCTCTATGAAACCTGATGTACTTATATGATTCTGTTTTCTTCAAGGTTGTGTCTTCCTGGTCGAATGTACTTATTGTAAGTCGCTTTGGATAAAAGCGTCAGCTAAATGCAATGTAATGTAATGTAATGTGTCTCCCATAATCAGAACATTTCTCAGGCGGGTGCAGTGATAATTCTTCAGGGTTTTCTGCGCAATATGTTGTGTCTTTCTCCTGTTTTGATTCCTCTTGCTGCTTGTCCTTGGCAGAGGGAACAGATTAATAACGCAGGCAGTTGAATATGTTAGAGATAAACAATTTCACTCCTGACTTGTTCAGGCAAACTCCATTTGCCTTGAAAAGATGTCTGCGGTCCCAGAAAAAGTTAAAATTGTCAATAAAATGAACAGAATGGTCAGTACAGACAGTTGAAAGCCAGGTATTCAGTGCAAACAATCTGCTGAATCTCTCCACTCCTCTTCTGACTGGCGGTAGAGGGCCACTGATGAACACCT